TAGTTAAGCTTAGAAGTTTTCATGTAGGCCCCCACATTTGTACCCTAAAGTTCAAAGTGGGGAAGCAGCCTTGACAGGGTGTCAGATTTTTCCCTGAACTATGCTGGGTGCGGGTGGAGGAAAGTCATAGATGTCAGCGTGTTTGCATGCAGCAAAACAAGGTAAGCCATGTGTGAGCTAATGCAGCATCACGTTAATTCCCTCAGGGATTCTGACCCAATCCTTGTAGCTGACAGCTGCAAACTTTTCCTGAAGCATGAACTCCAGATAGTCACATTGGAGGGAAGGGCATATTTTCCAGGCCCACCTGTGTAGCTGACTAGTCCATTCCACTCACAAATGTGCTTCTTCGGTTACTGTACGTTTGAATACTTCAGCTGTATACACTGCAGGCTTCCCTCCAGCAGCCTGGAATAAAATCTTCCTTTGCCAATAGGGCACCACAAGAACAGTTATGTCTTCCAAAATGTGAAAGGCCTGAAATGACAGAAAAAGCCTTTTGCAGCAAGAGCACTAAACACACCCATTCCCCACCTCCCCCCATATGGCAATTACTTATGAGATTATTATGAAACAGAAAAAAGGTTATAATTTTAAACTTACCATTGTCTCTGCACTTCTGTAACTGCGATTAATAAGGCTGTTGTCAGAGGTCCATTCAGGGGGAATGGTTCACCTCTGGCTTCACAAAGGTTATGAAGAATGCAGCAAGCCACGGTAACGTAGAGAGCATTGATGACACTGGCATCCAAATGGGTCTGTAGACACGTCCAACATGATTTTATCTGCCAAAAGCACATTCAACAACATTCTACACCTCTTGAGTGTAGTTAAACCTTCCTTTGCCAAAGCAAAAGAGGGTATGCAGGGTCCCCTAGAATAACAGTGGGGACAATTACACCATTTATGTCAATGTCATTGGGTGGGAATAGTGTCCCAGCCTATCGATGCTGAATGTAGATTCCCGAGCAGCAAAAAACTCAGGCATCAAGAATTTTTCCAGTTCAGCCCATGTTGACATTCACACTGTGGTCCACAAGTGCCTGCATAACAATGAAGTAGTACCTTTGATGGTTTAGGTACTCGTGCTCTTGAGGAGGGCAAACTATGAGTCCCATCAGCGGGCCTGGCCAGTTAGGAAACCCCATTCTCTCAAAGCCAGCATTTTCCTCCGGAATATCTGTAATGTCTGCCACCTTGAGGTTAACCACATGCCTGATTGCCACCACCAGTTTACGCACAGTCAACTTTCCTACCCCAAACTGGGTGGCAACAGACCTGTAGCAGTCTGTGGGAAACCAGCTTCCAGATAGTTATAGCAACCCTCTTCTGGACCTCCAATGGTGTCGTTTTATGCTAGAGGGTGGGGGTAAGCTGCTCACAAAGCTCCAGAAATGTGGCTTGCTTTATGCAAAAGTTCTGGACCCACTGCTGGTCATCCCAGGTCTGTATGACAATGTGGTCCCACCAGTCTGCTCGTGGCCCTGCGTCAGATGTGGCAGTCTACGTAGGGAGCATCAGTCGCTTTGCCAATTATATTGAGCAGCATCTGCTACTGTGAGTCTGCAATTGCAGGGTTCTCCTCTCTCTT